TTGTGAAAGTTTAAGATTGTTTTAACAATCCATGCAAGCGAACTGATTATGCGCCAAAAGCGCCAAAACGAGACTATAGTCTCGTTTTGGCGCTTTTGGCGCATAATCAGTTCGCTTGCATGGATTGTTAAAACAATCTTAAACTTTCACAAAGTCAGTCTTCTTAAAGAGTGTACGTGGTATTATATTTATATTTTGTAAAACTGATAGTCTAGAAGTATTCTATATAAGGCAGCAGTGGCTACCGGCTTGAAATTAATTCCGCCAGAAAAGGTATAATGACAACCATTTTTCGAATCGGTCCAGAACTCTATAATTAAGTTTACTGTACATAGATGACTAAAGACGTTATAACTGACTTGATTCGTGTGTAGACTAAGATCGTTTTAAACAATTTTACCCTGAAGATGGACTCTTAGTCCGAAAGAACTAGAGTCAACTCGTGGACGGAATAAGATCACCAAGGTTATACCAAGATCGTGGGGTCAGTGGTACTTTATGTGCAATATTTCGGTCACTATGAGAAGAAATGACATGTGATCTATTTTACAGTAAAGGCTTCATATCCTGCTATTGCTGGTTGAAGGCCGGATCGCGCATTCTTTGATATTTATAAAGTACACGCGTTCTCCATCTAGCCAAAGTACACTATATATGTACCTAATTCCTAAAACTGTCACGAAATTCCAAGGATGTATTTTTAATTTAATGGACTTTTATGTTATTAGATATAGTCATCTGTCAACTACAGCAAACAAGCATGCTATATCTTTCCGAGTGTAGATGCTTGGCTTACATTCTAGCACGAGCTTGGTATGATGTTCAAGCAAGCACGCTAATAGCGTCTTTTAGCGTTTAATAAGCGTCTTTTAGCGTCTTGGTTAATGAATAATGTGAGCTCATGTGAAATATGAGCTGTTGCATTGCACTATTTAATATCTGAAGCTGTCTGTTCAAGACCGAACGTACTTCTAGTTGTATGCACGTTTTGGTGAAGATATTACCTTTGCCTGCTGCATGAAAAAAGAATTGAATGTAGCCAAACCATACATTAACTATTTATCCTCATGTATTCGCTGGTATGAGCAAGACTAAAGGCATAATATCGAAAAGAGTTGGTTGATTTGAACTGGCAACAATGGCCGCCCATGGTTATGAAGACGAACGTTTTGAAAGCCCTGTTAGTGGAAGATTTCATTGCTCCATTTGCTTAAATGTTTTCAATGATCCAGTTATGTGCCGTCAAAATCAACATATATTTTGTAGAGGTTGCATATCCAAACATCTTGAGAATTATCGAACATGCCCTCAATGTAAAGATCAACTCAGTCTTGATCAACTTTGTGTCGTTCCGCGAATTTTAACTGATTACCTTGATGAATTAAGGATCCGTTGTGAGTTCGTCCAGCGGGGTTGTGAAGAGTTTGTTCAATTGCAATATCTAAAGAAGCATGTTGAAGAGTGTAGATATGCTCCTGTGTCCTGCTCGAACGAAGGGTGTCAGCGTGAAGTAAACAGACGCGATTTAACCCACCATGAATTTGTGGAATGTGAAGAGCGACAACTAAAATGTCATCATTGTGAACGCTTGAGCAAAGACGTGGATATATTGAAGGAAAAAGTGACGGGAATGGAGGAAAAGTTTGATACAGCTTGTGCAAATGTGTATGCCGCAGTTGAGGTGAAACTCGATTCATTTCAAAAGAATTTTAAAGAGCAGCAGAAAAATATAGACGACTCACTTTCGTCTTTGAAAAGAAGTAATAGTAGTATTAAAGGTAATCTTAAAAAGCTAATAAAGGTCATGGAGTCGCTTCCAAAAAAATCGAGGGTAGAAACTGACAATGACGATTCTGCTTCTGATTCATCCTCATCTGGACCTGATTCTTCATCATCTACATCTACTCCTTCTCGGGCTACGAGCGTCAACATCGTACCCAGGGCTGAGGGTAACTCTTCATCATCTACTCCTTCTCGGGCTACAAGCGTCAACATCGTACCCAGGGCTGACGGTAACTCTTCTTCATCTACTCCTTCTCGGGCTACAAGCGTCAACATCGTACCCAGGGCTGGAATCAACTCTTCATCATCTACATCTAATCCTTGGGCTACAAGCGTCAACATCGTACCCAGGACTGGAAGCAACTCTTCATCATCTACGTCTAATCCTTGGGCTACAAGCGTCAACATCGTACCCAGGTCTTCTGGGCGTGGCAGGGAACGAGTGCCATGGCTAACAAAATACAGTAACTAACAGCTTTGTACCCAGGTGTATA